TCCATCCATCCATCCATCCATATCTTTAGATGTGTACTCTCCACGGAAACGCATGCACACAAAAGCAAACAGACACTTACACACAACCGCGCACACGCACACACACAAAAGCACACGCACCCTTCATTAAACCGTGTTAGTGCGAACACCTGCCCTCCCTTCCCCCCTCTGCACATGCAAATATACACCAAACACACACAGCCACTTTCTCACTTGGGCACAGTCACATTATTAAATACTTATTGCATTTAAAATTAACGGTGAGGCATTGTTGCAAATATTAAGTGAGTGTTGATGAGGGGCAATATATTACGTCTCTACTGAAGCAGATATGAGCTTCAGGGTGGCGAGCGACAATACTTCTCCCGTTCGATCAAACAAAGAGTTTGACATTTTGGGGCAAATGCGCTAATTTGCTTTCTTGCCCGAGAGAGTAGAAAACTAAAAGACTGATATTCCTCTCGTGTCTGTACACTAAATAAAATGGCTCTACAGTCAGTAGCTTGTTAGCTTAGCTTAGGCATACAGACATAAAAGAAGAGCTATTCCTGGCTTTTAAAACAAACAAGATACTTAACATGTTATTAGGAGCTTTAGAGGTGCTGCTAAGTGGATTTTGTTACCTTTGGACAGACTTTTTATCTTTTCCTTTAACCTACTGATTATTTTCTCAATAATCGATTGATTGTTTGGTCTCTAAAATGCCAGAAAATAGCAAAAAAAAAATGTCCCTCACAAGTTCCCAGAGCCCATGTCTTACAATATCCAACAGTCCAAAACCAAAAAGATATTTAATGTAATATCCTAGCATCACATAACACTAAGAAAGCCAGAAGACATTTAGTTCTAAAAAAAAAATATTGAATTTGTGCCATTTTTTTCTTGAACGCTTAAGGGATTATGAAAATATTGCTGATTCATTTTTGTTGATTTATGTCAAATAATTTCAGCTCTAATGACCTGAAATGGCAAACAGCAACACCCTCGGCTCATTCAACAGTTATTTGGTTATTTCTGTTGGAAAGAGAAGTTTGGTTTTGTAGGTTGCCTTGTAAAACGGCTTCTTTTAATGTGGAATAACTGGAACGTTATTGTCTCTACGAGCCTGAACAACAGCAGACTTGGCCAGACAAATTAGCCCGAGACAGTACAGAGATAAAGAGATAAGAACAGAGAGGGAAAGAGTACAAGATGTCCAAATAGGATTGAATGGGAGCACAGCTCAGGAGTGAATCTTTTCTCTTCCCAACCTCCATTTCCACACTTCTTCCTCTCAGATTGAATGTAGTTTATTGCTCCTGCCTTTTTTTTATGTGTTTTTTTTTCCCACCATTCTCTCACTTTCTTTCCTCGCTTTCGGCTGAATGTGCTTTTGACACTCTTCCTACTCCTCTCACATAGAGACGGACTCCCTCACCTGAAATTAAACACAAGGCCAGGTGCCACTCTGAAACAACCATCTGTTCGCCCCGGCCTGACTTCTTTCTCCGTTTCTTTTTCTTTCTTCTTTCTCCATTGTTAGCAAGGAGAAAAAAAAATAGGTAAAATAGCAAGGAGGAGGGGGGCAAAAAAAGCCTTAAGACCTACCCAGAGAGGAGAAATGCTAAAAAAAGAAATAGTAGTGTTGAGTATTAATGACATCCTTCAGCTTTCTCTACATTCAGGTGAGCCTTCATACAAGCTTTCTCCCCTCAGTCCTATAATTGCCTTCATGTTATTTCTTTTGAATCGCCCCGACCATGAGATGCCAAAGTTAATTATTCTTTGGCAGTGCAGGTGCAATTAGATGACAATTACACCACAGCTGGTAGCAGGGGTGGGAAGCAGCTCTTGTCCGTGTGGGCGTGTATGGAGCTAATAAGATGGTTTTCGTCTTTTTTTTTTCTTTTGGCAAAGAGGGTGAGGGGGTGGGGGGCAGGGGAGGATTTTAGGGAACACAGGGCGGTTTAGCTTGTTCCACACGGCTTAGAGGTAAGAGGTTGTGAGGAGGAGAGCCGCTGGGGTAGAAACACAGGGGGGGGGGCTTTAGACATGGGGCATTGGCCCCTGCTGATCCTCTACGCGAGGTCAGGAAGGTCACGCTACTGTCACGCTAACAATGGGATCTCTTTTGTTGCAACCCTAATACCAGCCTGCTCCTTCAAACTGTTTCTAGTATCCCCCAATAACCCCCTGCCTGCCATTACAACCCAGATTTAATCCTGAAAACAATCGATAAGTCAATCTTCAATAATAATAAGTATGTTTAATAAGTAATTTGTTTCTTTAAGGGGGGCAAAAAATCTAATTATTTGCTGGCTCAAGCTCCTCAAAATGTGAGGTTTGGTGCTTGTGTCTGCTTAAGGGTTGTTTTTTTTTTGTCTATAAAATGTCTGAAAATAGATTTTTTTTTGTGCCCAAAACTCAAAGATATTCAGTTTACTATCACATGAGACAAAAAAAACCCACAAATCCTCATATTTGAGAAGCTTTAGCAAGAGAATGTTTCACATTTTTTGCTTTAAAAATGAACCAAACAATTAATTACAAATAGTTGTTTTTTTATAATTATCTGTCAATCCACTACAATAACCCTTATTTTAAGCAAAAATGCCAAGAATTCACAGCTTCCAGCTTCTCCTGTATGAACATTAGCTGTTTGTCTTAGTTTTGAGCCTTTTTTTGCTCCTGTCAGACTAAACAATTAATCGATGAATCAAACAAAATTGACAGATTATTCGATACTGAAAATAATTAGAGGTGCAGCTCTACATTGTTCCCTTTTCCCTCAAAAACTACTGTCATGAGCTGTCATTCAGCAGGGCACACAAAAAAAAGAAGTGAATGATGTAGATTTCAACAAAAATAACCAAAAGGAAACAGGGGTAAAGCCTTGTTAGTAAAAGAGGAAGCAGCAGCAAGTCTGGGAGCACACTCTGTCTCAGTAATTCCTTGCCTTGTCGCCTTGTCTCTCATATAGTCGGTTATTATAGAGACGCGGCTGTCATGTCATATTTAGCTCTGGAAATGTCATTTGGCAGCACACCTGCTGCCTGGCTATGCTAATAAAGCTAGGTTTAACTTTGATTAGAATTCAGAGGGAAAGATGGATAGAAAGAGAGGAGAGGATGGGGGTGGATAGAGAGAGAGAAAGAAAGAAAGAAAGAAAAAGAAAGAAAGAAAAAGACGAAGACACAAAAAGAAAGAGAAACATCAGAGAGAATAAGAACTGGCAAAGTCACTCCAGCAGCGAGCCTCATAGCTGTCTCTTTCGACCCGTGACATGTTGCAAGATGACTCATGCCTTAACTGGATGGATATGTCTGGATGCATCACATATGAAACATAAGAGGGAGAGCAGCCTCTGACCTTTATTGGAGCATATCAGCTAAAGGGGGAAGTCGGGCCCGCATGTCAAACTCGGTTAATTTCCCCCATGTCATTGTGTGTCCTCGTGTGTCTGTGTGGTGCGTTCAGATAGCCTAGAATGCCAGTTATTTTGCTCCGTTTATATATTTTTATACATGTGAGCTGTTGAGGATCTCGAAAAGACAACGACACACTCACCCCTGGTAGTGTCTTCTGCTCGTGCAGTGCATTCTGGGCTTTGAGGGCGGACTCACGTGCACAATATGTCAGGAAGGCACATCCTGGAGACAAAAGCAGTAGAAGGTAAGCAAACTATAAAAAACAGTGTGTTTTTATGTTAGATTCATATGCTATACAGTGTGTTAGAGCTGGCAGTACCACATTGTGATAACTTAATCTGAATTAAACCTTTGGCCTGGCAAGGAGTTAGAAACATGCTGCTGAAGTTTATTATCCTATATTATAAATCTGCCGTTTCATGTAAGTGCTTTGGATTTACAACAGTTCTGGGTCATCAGCATGTGTTTAAAATGTCTAAAAAGGCCACTCGACTTTAATCAGGACATCTTGTTTTAATATGTGTTGAAAGCTGCATGAAACAGAGGCTAGAAAGTACAATATAAACAACGAGCTGTCTTTTTGTTAAACATTTCTTCCAGAAGCACTGGAGATCTATGGGATTATTAAATCATAATACCTGGAGACTATTCAGACACAAGCAGTCTGAAGGGGTATTTAATATCATGCTGGTCAAGCAAAATGTATGCAGTCCCAGATAATAGAGAAAGGCCTTCATTAACCTTTAGGGCTTCCACAAATCATGAATATGTAAAATTATGCAGAATAGGTGTTATAGGTGTTAGAGGACTGATACCACCTGGCCTATACGTCTCCCAAATGACTGATTTATAAAAGCCTTTGTTTTCTGCGCTCAGATTTGCATTAGAAATGACAGCGAGGATCATTGTTTAGCTTAGATCACTTTAACCAGCTTTAGTCCATCTGTCAAACAGGATTTTGAGTGTGCTGAGATTTAACTTCCAAAATAAGAGAAGCATGCTCACGATGTGACGCACAGCAGTAGTAGTGGGTAACATGAATTCCTACAAATTGACTGATATCGCCACATGAAACCAATTATGGGCTGACAAAATACTTTCTGAGAGATTGAGACAACTACATTAATGGTACTGACAAAAAAATGTTTACTCTGCTTTTGTCATTCTAGGCCTATTTTTCTTTATTCCATCAGTCTAAAATAACTAATTTACGTCTATGTACGGTTTATAATTGTAGTATACAGAAGTAGGTGTGAAGGGGAGCCTCCCAGCATGCACTGTTTCCACATTTCACTTGTTGCTACAGTTAGTTAGCTGCTCAATGTGCTTGCATGTAGTGGACGGAAGCGTATTGAACATTAATTTGAGAGTCTACGAGAACTTCAGATTGCTCTTGATGAGCAGGACACAGATTGCAAAGCATGTGGTCCAGTCTAAAATTTAAAAACTGGAAACTACCTATTAAACAGTTTTTAAAAAAAATCTGCTTTAGTGCTGTGAATGAAATCAAGTATTTTATGTGAATCACAACAAAAACATGAGTCAAGACTGATCAATATTTTAGTCAGTCCACGGAAACTTTTCACCAACTATGAATCAGATTTCTTTTTTAGATCAGTGGTGCTAAACATCAGGTTTTGACCTCACATGAGGTCCTTAAAGAGGCTCCAGAGGGACAAATGAGGAAACTGATTTTAGCTGAGAATTAAATCCTAACTGGAGGACATAAGATACAAGAGCAACTATTGTAATGACCACTATCTTTTCACATAAAGAATACTAAATTAACAGTATCTTTCCCCCATATTAGCTCCTGAGACAAATGGGAGTTCTTGGTCTGGATGACTCTCTTAC